GCACGATCTGCCTTCTGGCTCCGCTTAATTTTATGCAATGTTTCGATGCGGGCGATCTTGCTGTGGTTTGGCCCGGGCTGGTCTCGAACTCCTTGCCTCAAGCATCCTCCGCGTCCTCGGCTCTCCTACAAAGTGGGCCGCCGGGATTGAGGGGCGGAGCCACCGGCCGAGGGCCGTGGTCACCTTTTTCAAAGAATGCGTAGAATAAATCCGTTTGGGCCTTATACGCCTTTCAGACTAGCTTACCCCTGATTCTTAGCTTCAGGCGTTGCAGGAAGAGTATTTTACAATATTTCTACAGTGTCTTTTGAAGATATCTGAAACTTTGTGGAATGAAGCTGGCATGAAAAATAAAACCAATAATGCATGCATAGTAAATTTTTTTTCCTCGTCTTTTCAGCTTTAAAATTATTCAAACATCTTTCTCTTATGCGAGATGTTAACAATGAGTTGATCTACTTTAGTAAATTTGCAAATGGTTCAGCGCTCCCTTTTAGTCTGATATTTGGGTGTTTCCCATTTTACACTCCTTAATACAATAACCACCGTACAGAACAACATATTGTTGACCCGTAACTTCATCTTAGGACTGTATTTTCTCTTGGATGTCACTGCCCCAGACGTGGGCCTTTATTGGCTTGCAGGGATATGGACAGCTAGTCCTACGCCGTGCCCTACAGCGACTTTTTTTAGTTACTGGCACGTTTTGGTGCTGGGTTCAGTTATCTTATCTAATTTTGTTTTGCGTTTTGTCTGAACCATGGAGTTTTCGGCGCTTTGTTGCGCCAGGCTGGAGTGGGGCAATGGTGGCCAATCTCAGCTCACTGCCAGACCTCGCCTCCAGGCGTGGTGCGGAGAGGGAGAGTTTTCCGCCACGGAGCCAGGCGGAGATCAGCACCACTGCGCCCTCCAACGCCTGGGCAAACAGAGCAAGACTGTCTAAAAAAAGACAAAAACGAGAGAAGAGATTCTCGCCGCTGCAGCCTCCACAAGTAGCCTGGGACTATAGGCCCATACCCACCACCCCCAGCCTAATTTTTGTATTTTTAGTAAAAGAGATGGGTTTCACCATACTTGGCCCGGCTGGTTTCAAAAACCCTCCCTGACCTCAGGTGATCCACGCTGCCTCAGATCCCCAAAGTGCGCGATTACAGGCCGTACAGGCGTGAGCCACCGCGCCTGGCCTTAATTTTTTAATTCTATAATTACCACAAACCCCTTAGTATTAAGCTCCGAGACATATTTTTGTCATACCTTTATTGCTTATTATAATTTTCTATCTTTAGATGTTAAGTATTTGTTGAAAATCCCATGAAAAGTTTTCAGAAATTGGATTGGATTTCTTGTTTATTATACATCCCTTGACTATTTTGTAATCGTGTGTATTTGCGGAGGTCACATGTAAACAAATTTAAAGTGACTCTACTTTGTGAAAACGTGCAACCTCGTGTAGGTACTCAGTAAATTAGTAAATTCTTATTAACGTTAGCCCCCCAGCCTTGCTATAGAGGGTGCATGCTGAGCCCAAAGCAGAGAGCTCTGTTATCTCTGCATTCATCACCACCACACCAGGAGGCCTGAGAAGCTTCTAGCACTGTTTGCACCTTCCCCACCACATCACCCCTCCCTGCCTTCCTCACAGTCTTCCTTCTGATTCAGAAGGACCCGTTTCTTCTATTCTCTGCGCCTGTCGGAATGCTGCTCGCTCTTTCAAACCCTAGTCATATGAAAGTGTCTGGTGTGAGCCCACTTTTTTCGAATTGATTTCTGTATCCTTTGAGGTACCACTTATGAGTGAGGGTTCTCCAGAGAAACAGAACCAATAGAGGGGAGAGATGTTAGAGGAACTGGTTTAAAGGGTTCGAATGCTAAATCTCCACCCAAAAACTCCTTTTAGAGGACAGACCCAGTAATAATGCTTAATCATGTGTATCTGACACCTCGTGGTACGTCAAGTTGACATACAAATTAACCATCGCAGCAAGCGCATACATTTAACATATTTGTACTAGAGAATTACTGATTCTACCTGCACTTCAGTGCTTAAGACATTGTCTGTTTTCATCCACTGTTCCCCAAACCAGTTGTGAGTCACTTTCTATCTAAGTTCTTGGGTTTTTTGTTTGTTTGTTTTTGAGACGGAGTTCTCGTTCTATGTCGCCCAGGCTGGAGTGCAGTGGTTGACCTTGGCTCACTTGCAACCTCCACCTCCGCGGGTTTCAAGCGATTCTCCTGCCTCAGGCCCTCCCGAGTAGCTGGGACCCACAGGTGTGTGCCACCACGCCGTGACCCTGGGTCTTGTTTTTTCCCTTCTTTGAATCCCGTAGGGCCTCAGTGCTGTTGGCAGCACATAGTTAAAACTGAAAACATTTCTTGAATACAAACTAGCTAACGTTTTTATTCTTTACTTCAAGGTATATCTTCCAATGAATTAACCTCAATGATCCCCCAAACTGGAATATCCGGCCTAATTTCAGGGCGGATGGTGGTGATGGAAGCAGATGGAATTATGCCCTGTTGGGTCCAAAGCTGGGACTGGCTGCTTTTCGTAAGTCATGGTTTTCTTAAAATTCATGTTTTCCAGGCTGAGAGTGTGGAGCCCCGGTGAGGGAGGCAGCATGATGTGGGAGCCTGAAGGCCGTGACTTTGGGACCTGTCAGGGACAGCCGAGTTTTATCCCATGCAGTGAACCGTGGGCAAATCAGTTAACCTCTGAACCTCAGTTTTCCTGTTCACAGGAGATGGAGAATCATACTTAACCTCAGCACATTGCGAGGATTAAGTCAGCCAAGGCGTTTAGAAGCATTTTGTGTAGGGTGGGTTTTAATAACTAAGTTCTCTCTCAAGGCTTTGCAGCTCTCAAGTCAGGGGGGCGGTTCCTTGTTTCAGGTGCCCTCATAAGGACTGATGGGGGAAAAGAACGGGTGTAAAGGAAACCAGTGGGCTGAGTGTGGTGGCTCACACCTGTAATCCCAGCACTCTGCGAGGCCCAGGTGGGCAGATCGCATGACCAGCCTGAGTAACAGAGCAAAACCCCATCTCTACAAAAAGTAGAAAAATTAGCCAGTCGTGGCCATGCACACCTGTAGTCCCAGCTCCTCAGGAGGCTGAGGTGGGGAGATCAGTGGAGCTGGGAGGTCGAGGCTGCAGTGAATGGAGATGGCACTACTTGCCCTCCAGCCTGGGCAACAGGGTTTAAAAAAAAAAAGAAAACCAGTTTTGGAAAACCAGTGATGTTTAATGTTTAGGAAATCAATCTTTGGGAGACTTCATCCAGGAAATCTCTGCTTGGCCTGGCCAGAAATTCTCTCTAGTTTAGATTGACTTGGCACCACGTTGGGGACCTGTCAGTCACATGCAGACTTATATCCCCACCACACAATCAATTCACTGATGCAGAGGAGTGCGTTTTGTGTTTCTTCAGGTTCCATGGTTCTGGGCTGGCATTTAGGAACATGAGAGACTGAGTAATTGAATGGAAGAAAGGCAAAACTGCCCTCTAGCTGTAGCAATACATTTTACGTAGAGGCTTTTTATCTGCTTCTGTTGGCGTGTTTCCTAAACAAAGGAATGAACACACAAGACAACAGAAGACAAGACAAACATGGCGGCCACCTCCAATGGCGGGCTCTGCTTTATTTTATACAGTTTGTGGAATGTTGCCAAGTTACAAGACACATTGTTGTTTTTCTGACCTTTCCCTGACTTTCTGGATTTTCAAGATGTTTACACATAAACAAGCCCCCAGGGTCTGCTGTTTGCAGCTGGCTCCTTTGTCCTCCCTGTTTACAGGGAAGGAACGCCCTGCTTCGTTTGCAAGAGCAGGACTTATCGGGAACGCCTCGTTTGCCAGCACATAGTCCTCTACATGCTTCCATGTCTCAGGTTAGAAGTTTTGCTGTAGAGGAAGAGGAGGCTGGTAAGAGCAGGTGGTTTTTATAACTCAGTGATCTGCACAGTGCTTGCTTCTTGGTGAAAGACAGGGCAGGTCCACATCCAATGCTAAGGGGCTGCCATGTGAAAAGCTCACTCGCCTGCAGGCTTGGAAAAAAAACCACAACACTTGGAGAGGCTACTGTTGCCTGTGGCTAGGGTGAGTGGGTTGGAAGGTTAAAAATTACTCTTACTAATGTAATAATTAATTGGCTTTGAGGCTGGGAGAGGCCCTGAAGTGACTCATTTTCCATTTGTTTTTCAGACTCATCTCTAGCTTTTATAGCCTTTCATGATAACTTTCACTTTTGAAATTCTTACCTCCCCTTCTTGGACTTTTGAAATGATGCTTTCTGTCCCTGAAAAGGGTTGAAGAATATTTTATTTTTTCTTCTTGGTTTTTTGCTGAGGTAGTGTGGTGAGAGATAATTGTTAACTTGGCATTCTTGGAAGGATTCTCCAAAGGTGTGTTATGGTGTGTTTGAGGTTCTGTTGCACACAGGAGCGTTAACCAGCCCCTAGTGTAGTCTAGAAGAAGAGGCAGACGTATGAATACTTCATAAGCACCATTGATTGATTTATTGATGAGAAGCCAGTTTGTCCTGATCACTTATTTCATTTACTAGATTTTGGTTTTTTTTGTTTGTTTGTTTTGTTTTTTGAGACGGAGCCTTGTTCTGTCGCCAGGTTGGAGTGCAGTGGCGCAATCTCGGCTCACTGCAACCTCCGACTCCCTGGTTCAAGTGATTCTCCTACATCAGCCTCCTGAGTAGCTGGGATTACAGGCACCCACCACCATGCCCGGCTAATTTTTGTATTTTTAGTCGAGATGGGTTTTCACCATGTTGGCCAGGATTGTCTTCATCTCCTGACCTCGTGATCTGCCCACCTCGGCCTCCCAAAGTGCTGGGATTACAGGTGTGAGCCACTGTGCCCAGGCCATTTACTAGATTTTTACTTAACATAACATAGAAATGTGTGTAATTGTGCTTGCCTGAAAGAGCAGTCCCTGGAGAAATTCTTACCCTGAGTAGCTCCCCTGGGAGACTATTCAGTATTTCAGCGCTCCAGTGGGCTTCTCTCTCTTCACACCTCCTCTGTCATTCTGCTTTCCCCCCTTTTCTCTCAGTCTTCCTGATTCCCCTTTCCCCATCTCTCTCCTCTCGGTCTTCCTGATTCCCCTTTCCCCATCTCTCTCTCCGTGCTTTTCCCATCTCTCCATGCTTTCTCCCCTCTAGCGTTCCTGTACCTCCCGTTTCCTCTCCTGACCTAGAAAACACATAGTGTTAGAGCTGAAAGGGACTGGTTGAGTTCACTGCTCACTGAGAGAAATGAATCTGAGACAGGTCTCAGATTTTTTAGAAAGTTCATTTTGCCAGTTTAAGGATGCGCCCGTGATGCCTCCACAGGAGGTCCTGACAACACAGGCCCAAGGTGGTTGGGGCCCAGCTTGCTTTTACACACTTTAGGGAGGCATGAGACATCGATCAATATGTGTAAGATGTCCATTGGTTCAGTCAGCCCAGAAAGGTGAGACAACTTGAAGAGAAGGTCAGACAGGGGACTTCCAGGTCATAGGCAGGTAAGAGACAAACGGTTTCATTCTTTTTTTTTTTTTTTTTTTTTGAGACGGAGTCTTGCTCTGTGTCCCAGGCTGGAGTGCAGTGGCGCGATCTCGGCTCACTGCAAGCTCCGTCCCCCGGGTTCACGCCATTCCTCCTGCCTCCAGCCTCCCGATGAGCTGGGACTACAGGCCGCCCACCCACCTCGCCCGGCTAATTTCTTTTGTAATTTTAGTAGAGACAGGGTTTCACCGTGTTAGCCAGGATGGTCTCGATCTCCTGACCTCGTGATCCGCCGTACTCGGCTCCCAAAAGTGCTGGGATTACAGGCTTGAGCCACCGCCCCGGCCGGTTTCATTCTTTTGAGTTGCCGGTTACCCTCTCCTGATGAGGCACTCAGATACGCATTTCTCCTCGGTGGACCAGCATGGGTGGCTTTCGACAGAATGCGGAGGCGGGTTTGCCCTCAGCAGCCCAGCTTGACTTCCCTTTAGCTTAGTGACTTTGGGTCCCCAAGGTTGGTTTTCCTTTCACAACATCTAACATGTTTTTCCTATGAGCATTAGTTATTCATTGTGTATTTTATTGCACAAATACGGCACAGATTTTTTTTTTTTTTTTTGAGACGGAGTCTAACGCTGTCGCCCAGGCTGGAGTGCATGGCGAGGTCTCAGCTCACTGCAAGCTCCGCCCTCAGGTTTACGCCATTCTCCTGCCTCAGCCTCCGGAGTAGCCTGGGACTCAAGGCGCCCGTCGCCCTGCTAGTATTTTTGTATTTTTTAGTAAGAGGACGGTGGTTCACCGTGTAACAGGATGGTCTCGATCTCCTGACCTTGTGATCCGCCCGTCTCGGCCTCCCAAAGTGCTGGGATTACAGGCTTGAGCCACCGCGCCCGGCCACAGATTTTTTTTTAAATCACCAACTCAGACACTTTACCACACACGGGCTCCTCAGGGAACTCAGGGAATCCTCACAAGACTAAAACACCCGCATGGACGGAAGGTGAGGGAAGAAGCCCCAGGCCGCCCTGGGAAACCTCGAGACACATTGCCGTGGTCCCTGTGAGGCAGAACTGAACCTGGGATTCCATATTAAAGAGGTGTGAAGGGGGCTGCACCTCCCAGCAAAGGAAATCTTCCAGAAATCAAGTGGGGCGGGGATGGAAACACGACTCCCCTGAACACCTGCATCCCAAGCCTGCCTGCCCCTGGAGCTGCAGCTCCCACCCAGCTACGGGGGATGGAGACACAGAACGTCTCTCCTGAACACCTGCCTGCCCTGGAGCCTCAGCTCCCACCTCACGCTACCGTCTGGGGCATGGGGGTGCGCATCTGTAAAATCCCCACTCTTCTGGGAGACTGAGGCAGGGACTTGCATTGAGCCAGGAATCGCAGACTCAAGCGGCAACACAGGGAGACCCTGTCTGCTTAGAAAGCCAAGGCAAAAACCGCTCCTGTACATCTGGGCGGGACGACCCTGGACCCCAAGCAATGACGCGACCCTCAGCACTTAAGGCTACACACATCCGACCCCCACCACACACACACCCACACACTACCCGCACAACACACCAACGCCTTTGCGTCTTCACCCTGCTCGGCGCCTTCGAGCCGCAACACAACAGCCCACATCACCACCCCTCCAACAGCGACCGTCAAATACACCGTCAACTAGCCACGTCCACGAAATAGTCAGCCTTTTGCATAAACAACACCTTCTTCACACACCTGAAAACCACCATGAACACCACTAACTGTGACGCGTGTGGCTCAAGCCTGTATCCCCAGCTTCTTGCGACGCGGCGCTCCGCGCGCACAAGGTCAGGATTTCGAGCACACCGCGCGGCCAATATCGCTCCCCAACCCTCCTCTACTAAAGAATAGCAAACAAAAATTAGCTGGGAGTGGGGCAGATCCTGCGCTAGTGCCCAGCTACTCAGGAGGCCCCGCAGCGCGGGAGACGATTGCTTTGAACCGCGGGGAAGGGCCGCAGGTTGCAGTGAGCTGACCATCAGGCACTGCAACCTCCAGCCTGGGAGACCGGCGCACGACCCGTCTCAAAAAAAAAAAAAAAAAACAAAAACAGAATATTTCGAGCAATCACAGATCGAACAGCAAAAATACACATACAGCCAGTGCTATCAAGAAACCGCAGATTGAGAAGTAAAGCTAATAATTAGAAATTTAAATATATGTCATCTTCAGAGTTATGAAACTGAAAGGACAGCGTTACCAACCACAGCTCTTAATCAATCACATCAGAAAATAAAGAATCCAAGCAATACAGACCGGAGAGACATGAAACAGGTCCAGAGAGCGTGGGGCGCACGGACACGCGCACTTCATCACTGGCAATTCGCAGAAGGAGGAAAGTGATACCCAGACAAAGGAAACAACACAACGCTCATACAACACACCAGGCGTGCGCGTACCCTTACATAATGATCGCTGCACAGCTCCTCGGACCAAAAGGACGTCAACGTGCCTGCAAAACAAACAACAGGATTAGAAGGAACAAAATCTTTCTGGGACACGAGGTTCCGCTCCACA